ATAAACTTATATAGGCCTATATACGTACATACTAATATAGATTTATAAACGTATAGACTTGTGAAGACTTATACATTTTTCTCAACTGGAGCTTGAACTTGAAGGCAACAACACCACATGATGAACTGCTAGGGTGATGTCAATACATCAACGTTAAATCAGACGTTGAAGTGTTCAAAAATTCAGGCGACTGCCTTGGCGCTCGCCGGCGGCCGGTGGATAAGGTACGTCTGAAGTCAGAGCAGGCAGTGTGCGCGTGTGGTGATGTTGGTCTGAAGGGAGTAACGGGCGATGGTTCGTGTTGAGTAGCATCTCAATCAAACAACCCCTATAGGCAAAGTTTTTCTTACCAATCCTTTATATTTGTTTTTCAATATATTTTATTTTATATTAATATTCTAATGCGCCACCCGCTATTACACCGCATATTTTTTGCACCAACTATTTCAGGAAAAAAGCAAGAGAAAATATTACGCATGAAATGAACTTGTGACATTTTTTTACGAATCTCATTTAGCGTAGTTATTGGACATTTATATTTTCTGAAATTAGTGACATCATATTTCCTTCACCCAAATTTTTTTTTTCTCTTCCCTTTTGAAAAAAAAATAACAACTGATTTTCAGAAAATTACAGGCGAAAAAATACAAAGTATGTATAAAGGATTTTAAAAAATTGAAGTTACTTTTAAAAGCACGTTAGCAGCGAATGAGAGCGCATCACGGTGCGCATTGGGAGCGGGGCGGACAAGATCCCATCGCAAAATCATTATTATAGATGGTACAGAGTGATATTACCAAGTACTCTACTTCGATACCGGACACCATCTTCCCCCTCCCCCGCACACACAACATTTGCATGCACAAACGTCTCATGAGAACAACAAGTTTCCAAGGTACAGTGGAATATAATCAGATGCATATATTTACTATTTAGAAGGGGAGCACATTAAACCCCCCCCCCCCGTCAAATGACCAGCAATATTTACATGACGAGACAGTCGCGTGGTGAACTACAATTACAATTCTGTTTGCTGACCCTCAACCCACTGGCATCGATGTAAATGTCGTAAATTTAATGTCGTAGATTCAATGCCGTAATTTTGATGCCGTAAATTTTAATGTCGTTTAATGTCGCAAACTTAATGTCGTGTGATTGAATGCTGTAAATTTAATTTCCTAAATTAAATATATTGTGATTTTAATGTCGCAATTTTAATGACGTTAATTTAATGTCGTAAATTCAATATCGTAATTTTGTGTCGTAAATTCAATACCGTAATTTTATTTCTTAAATGAATTGCCTTAATTTTAATGCCGTAAATTTATTGTCTTAAATTAAATGCCGTAATTTCAATGCCATAAATTTAATGTCGTTTAATTTGGTAAATTTAATGTTTTATTATTATTTTTTTCGTAACGTCTCATCGATGGCACAGACTTATGTCAAGCCATTGTTCAATTTTTCATAGTTCTAAGCGATAACTCCTAGATTTTTTTTTTTTTTTTACAAAGTAATACAATTGATCAAGAAACTATTTGACAAAGGTGATGTTGTCTACCATCTTTCCAGCTAGCGATTATCTCCTACTAGTAGTCTTGGACGTATATTGATTGGCCTGTATTGTTTATGGTTGCAAGGGATGAAAGACTTTGAATGGGTTTGGCTCGTTTGTAGTTTTTGTAGTGTTGCGTTTTGTGTTTTAAAGTTGTCAAATATAGATTGTTTCATTTCTCTTTTAATACGGTTGACTTGGTAACCGCGCTTCGAGCCTTTGGGGATGAAGCGTGGTTTTCAAATAAAATGTATTATTATTATTATATTAGTATTATTGTTATCATTAAAGGATGCAAACTTTTCACTTATTTATGTTCTCATAGGTTGACGCGGCAGAAAGATAATTTTTTCTTCAAATATTGAATGCTCACCGTGAATATTAAAAAAAAAAGCTACATAATAAGATATAACAACCGGCTATTAATAAGTACATTTATTTTCATGTACAATCATGCCATGTAAGGTATAAAACTTGCACGTTAATTTACTTGCTATAAAAAAAAAAGCTTGAAAAAAATAAAAACAATAAAAAGGTTATAGTTAAAAAAAAATAAAAAATTCTTTAATGAACTCCTACAGCCATTTATTTTCCTCATAGGTTTAGCGTCTTTCTATAAATTATTTATATTTATTTTATGAAAATATACAATTGTAAAAATGTATGGCATTATATTATATTTAAAAAAAAATATTTTTTTAACCTACCTAAATGGGTTCAAAGGTCAAATCTCGCACGTCCGCAAAACCTAGAACACAGTTTATTTAATTCTCTGTTTTAACTCCAGCCCAACGGACCGCAAAGAACCAACAGGCAGCCCGCCAAATTAGAAACCACAGCACAAGAATTAATATCGCCTGGTCAGAAAAGGAAGGGGAAAGGAGGGGGGGGGGGCGCACGGCAGAGGGCTCTCCTTGCCGTGAAGATCTCGAGCCCAGTCTCGGGGGGACGAGAGCGTGCGACAGGGGACCATTTCCTCCTAGGCAGCCCGCCAAATTAGAAACCACAGCACAAGAATTAATATCGCCTGGTCAGAAAAGGAAGGGGAAAGGAGGGGGGGGGGCGCACGGCAGAGGGCTCTCCTTGCCGTGAAGATCTCGAGCCAAGTCTCGGTGGGACGAGAGCGTGCGACATGGGACCATTTCCTCCAAGTCGCCGGAACCAGCCAATGGCTACGCAGTTCGATACTATCGACGACCGGTTAAAGTAAATCACGAGGAGGGATTTTTTCTAAGCCGATAAACTGGTGGTGAGCAAATGAGTCTTGAATGTGGCATCAGCGAGAGTTTTGGGTTAGTTTTACGTTTTGACTCAAGTCCTTAAACCTTTAATAACGATGCCATTTAAAATAAGATGTTCAATTCTGAAGCATATCCATTTAGGATTTGGGATATATATATATATATACACACACAAACACATATTATTCTACTCTTCTACCTAATGTCCCATCCATCCATATATTCATCCATCCATGTATTCGTCCATCCATCCATCAGCCCTTCCATCCCTTCGTCCATTCATCCATCCATCCATCCATCCATCCATCTATCCATCAATTCGTCCTTCGATCCATCCGTTCATCCATCCATCAATCCGTTCATCCATTCGTCCACCCATGCATTCATCAATTCATCCATCCGTCCATCCATTCACTCGTCCCTCCATACATCCATAAATTCATTAATTTATCCACCCGCCCATCCATCCATCCACCCATTCATCCATCCATCCATCCATCCATCCATCCATCTGTCCATCCATCCTTCCATCTCTCCATACTTCCGTCCATCCATCCATCCATTCTTCCACCCATCCATCAATTCATCCATTAGCTCATCCATCCATTCGTCCGTCCGCCCATCCATCTATACATTTATCCACCCACCCATCCATCCATCCATCCGTCCATCCATCCATCAAACCATTCGCACTCAATGCACTATTAAAATGTAAACTTAAAAAAAAGATACCCAATCTCAAGCCAAAGGTTTTCCTATCAGGACATCAGGGGACATGAACTTTAGAGTGCAATAACTTCAGAGCGATAAACACAATTGGAAGAAGACGCCTGGGATGTTATGCTACAAATAATCACCACATACAAAACGTTCTAGCCTAAAAAAATACAACTTCAAATGCCGAAATATCGGTGTAAAAAATGTTTGTTTGAACACAGTCTTTGTGATAATAAATGGCAAGAAGTGATCGAGAGAGAGAAAGAGAGAGAGAGGGAGAGAGAGAGAGAGAGAGAGAGAGAGAGAGAGAGAGAGAGAGAGAGAGAGAGAGAGAGAGAGAGAGAGAGAGAGGGGGAGAGAGAGAGAGAGAGAGGGGGAGAGGGAGAGAGAGAGGGGGGGAGAGAGACAGAGCGGGGAGAGAGAGGGGCGGGGAGAGAGAGAGAGAGAGAGGGAGAGAGAGAGAGAGAGAGAGAGAGAGAGAGAGAGAGAGGGAGAGAGAGAGAGAGAGAGAGAGAAAGAGAGAGAGAGAGAAACAGGTGAAGATAAAGAGAGAAACAGGTGAAGATGAAGAGAGAGAAGGAGGTAGAGAGACAGAGAGGGGAGAGAGAGGTTCGGAGGAAGGGAGAGAGAGAGAGAGACATATAAGAACGATTTGAATGACAGTGTATCCGTGGAGGCGTGTCTTTTGTATTCCCCTCGCATGCTGTCTGCTGTCTGCTGTCTGCTGGGAAACCTTGCGCGTAGTCTGTCAAGGGCTTAAGATTAAATAACTAATACCCTTTTTTTTTGGGGTTAGGGGTTTGGGTTAGGGTTAGGGTTAAGGGTTAGTGTTAGGGTTAGGGTTAGCGTTAGGGTTAGGGTTAGGGGGTTCCCTTTTTTTTTGGGGGGGGGGGGGTTGGGAGAGGTCTTTGATTCAAAGTTCTGATTTGCTGCTCTTGTTTCGTTCTGTCTACAGAGCTATATGATACATGTTCTTTGTTAATATGAAATGGAGAACAGACCTTTTCATCCATGGCGCAGCACTTGGCGAGTCCTTCGCTTGCTTTGATCCCCCCCCCCCACAAATGTGCTAAGGAGTCACAGCTTTGGCTGCTGCGCCACATCATAGAGACACAATCATAACGTTCCTTGATAACACCGTGGGCACATGTGGTTTCCTATATATTATATCTTTCCTTTACCTCCAAAATTGAAGACCCGTGGACCTTAAATGGACGTCTATTCCAAAATCCAAACCACGATTTGCCCACGACATTGTAGTAAGAACAAATCTACTGATTAATGTCACAAAACTTGATCAATGGTGTTAGGACTTTATGTTCGTTGATGTGGCGCATGTGGTTAGAAAGGAAAGTACTGGTAGACCGCCGAGAATTTCGCCAATTCTAATCTGCGCTTTTAATCTGATAACTTCTTACAATAAAATCACTTATCAACATTTAACATTGGCCCACACACAGAAAGAAGTCTCAAACTGAGAAAAATCAGGTCTCTTTATTATTATTATTTTTAAAAAAAATATTTTGTGATCATTGCTTAAAAGGAAAATGCACGTTTTGTTGTGTCAGATCGAATGTAAACCCTAAGCGAATATTTCATATCTGATGATATTCCAGTTCATTTTTTCAATGCTCTTTTCGATACTCTTTTTAATGGGAAGAGAAATCGCTTTAGTGCTTCCGTTGTTATTTCGTACTAGAAAAAATGTCCGTCAGTTAGACGGGTGCAAATACAGATTTTTTCTTGAGGAGCCACGTGTAACAAATGATAGCATTGTATCGATGAAAACAACTTTGTCCATGTTAAAAAAACAACAACAACATTATTGCAATAGCGACAAGGGAATATTATTGACTTTAGTCCCACTCGTTTTACACGCAAGACGTAATCAGTGATCAAGGGGGAATTATAAACTTCCCAGATTGACAGATGTCGTTATATTTACCCTCGTCAAGGCATCAACAACGAACACACATTTATTTTTTATAGCATAGCAACACTAGGAACTAAGACTAAGGCTGCCGGTAGATAACCAACACGAGTGACGTCACCCCCTTCTACCCCCACCCCCCATCTCCCAACCCACGCGAGCAATCGGGGGGGGGGGGCCGGGGGACCCCCCCCAACATTAACAAAGGTGAACATATCGGGGTCAAATTAGATAACCAACACGAGTGACGTCACCCCCTTCTACCCCCACCCCCCATCTCCCAACCCACGCGAGCAATCGGGGGGGGGGGACGGGGGACATCGCCCAACATTAACAAAGGTGAACATATCGGTGTCAAAATGCTCAGCCATTTTCTTTTTAATGATCGAATCTGGGCAAGGGACACGTGACGTGACACCCAATATGATAGCGTCACTGCGTGGTTCCCATGGTTGGACAATTCTCCTCCTCCACCACCTGGCGTTCAGTTCGTTTTCTGATGTAGGCGACAACTTTCCACAGTGGCCATTTCGGGTTCGGAACCACGTCCTCTTTGTCGCTGGGCTCTGCCGGAGCTTCCGGTGGTAAGATGGTCTCGGCGGACAGGTCAGCTTGGTCCAAGAAGCCGCCCGGGGTGCTCGTGGATCTGGCTGTGGCCGCGATGGGGGTGGGCCGGACGAGGTGGATCATGCTCGGGCCTGGAAGCATACACAAGGCTACACATTGAAACAGGTCATAATAATGGGGGAAGAACAGGACAGTCGCAATGTTAGGGATGGTGTCCTTCTGTGGAATAATTGAGGCACCGGTCTATTGTATTGAATTGAATTGAAATTGTGTACAGCGCTTGAATCCATACTTTTTTAACATGCTCACAGAGCTCTAGGAAGACATGGGGACCGGGAGAGGAGGGGGGCATAATGAGCAGTTCACAAAGGGTGTCATGTTTTGGGGGTGGCATAATCTCTCGCTTCGACTTTGATTTTCAAGGGGGGACGGGGAGAGATCAAAGACTGTTAATTATGAATGAAATGATATCATCCAACACTTTCGCATCATGTTAGTCTCTAGCACAGGTTGTCGTGGCCGAGTGGTTAAGGCGATAGACTAGAAATCTATTGGGATCTTCCCGCGCAGGTTCGAATCCTGCCGACAACGAATATTTTTTTTAAATTTTAAATATTTTATTTTCGTTTATTACACGTAACAACATAAACAGAAATTTTTGGATGAGTTAGAAGCCAAATTTTGAAAGATTATTTTAAGGCTGAATTATTTTATATCAATTGACAAGAAATTTTTTTTTGATCAGTAACTTGCGATTAAGATGTAATGTAGCACAGATGGTTAAACATATCATTGAAAACATGAATCTATGAAACATGTCAAATTAATATATAAACAAATAGGACATACATCCATCAAATGCCTAATGCTAACAAGGGGGAGAGACAGCAATCAGGTTAACAAGCAAGGACATGAATGAGACAAGATATGAGAAAACCCGAAAACATTTCTTGTCGCCCTCTCGGATACTACATTTCCGCCAAGTGATATTCCTTTTTTTAAAAAAATTTAACTCTGTTTTTACTGTTGTTCTTTGTCGCTGAAGAAGGCTTCTTGCCGACACGTTCGTTGTTTTGTTGCGATCTTTTTCTTCAGATTTTTCCCATACTTTGTTTCATTCATTTCCTCCCAAGGCAGAGAGGTACATTCAATAGGTAAATCTAAGGGAAGGAGGTACTAAATGTCCGACTTATAAAAACTGAGGACTTCATTCGGCTAATGTGGCCTGGGCTTTTCTCTAGAGTTCTTTATACTCTCTGCCGTTTTGTGGTTGCGACCACAAGTGATTGAGGCAAAGTGACCTTCTAGCCAGATTCATTAAAAAAATTATTAATAACGAAGTCAATGCTAATTCATCGAAAATAGATGCTTGAAAAGGGAGTATTTTTGTAAATATTCAAGATTTATTATAATCATCATAAAAATAGACATTTCAACAAAATCGTTTAAAGATATAAAAAAAATAAATAAAATAGTTCCTGAAAGGGATCTCACAGAAAAAAAATCTAAGCGACGCCATGGGGGGAGGGGGGGTTAGGATAGGAAAAAGTGGCCAAGGGTGTACTCACTTTCGCTTGTTAGCTTCTCAGCCTTCTGACCCATCGGGAAGACGTACACGTTGACCCCGCCTTCGGTGAATTCGTCGATGAAAAAACGCTTGGGTTCCACACAGTTAAATGGGCCGTCGCCCCCATGATGCTACAGGTGAAACAAGAGGTTAGAATGGGCCGTCGCCCCCATGATGCTACAGGTGAAACAAGAGGTTAGAATGGGCCGTCGCCCCCATGATGCTACAGGTGAAACAAGAGGTTAGAATGGGCCGTCACCCCCATGATGCTACAGGTGAAACAAGAGGTTAGAATGGGCCGTCGCCCCATGATGCTACAGGTGAAACAAGAGGTTAGAATGGGCCGTCGCCCCCATGATGCTACAGGAGAAAGAAGAGATTAGAATGGGTCGTCACCTCCCCCCCCATGATGCTACAGGTGAAACAAGAGATTAGAAGCAGTGAGTATAATACAGAAACAGTGAGTGTAGTTCAGAAGCAGTGAGTATAATACAGAAACAATGAGTATAGTTCAGAAACAGTGAGTATAATACAGAAACAGTGAGTATAACACAGCAACGGTGAGCTCTAGTCAGTCGAAAGTCGAACATGACCAATAACTAAACATCGACTTAATCCCGGGGCTGAATCTGTCTGCGGGTGCGCAGATGGCTCACGGGGCCGATTCTGGCACGAAAAAATCTAGCGCGGAAGGAGGGTGGAAGGGGGGGGGGGATGGATGGGGCAACTACGGCTGCAGCGTTAACACGGGATTTTTCCTGGCGCGTCATATGTTTTCCGAAGCAGCTGTTCTGTTGGCGTCGTGTTGGCCTTGTGTATGGAAGAGCTCCACGTAACAGTTGTGCTAACACACCCACATATTTGTCTGTCGCAAAGGTCCACATAATCAAACTAATTAATGGCAATGGTACTAGGTTTTTATTGATCTTTCATCACATAAAATGCCAAAAGTCATCACATAACATGCCAAAAGTCATCACATAACATGACACCAGTCATCACATAACATGACACCAGTCATCACATAACATGCCAAAAGTCATCACATAACATGACACCAGTCATCACATAACATGACACCAGTCATCACATAACATGACACCAGTCATCACATAACATGACACCAGTCATCACATAACATGACACTAGTCATCACATAACATGACACCAGTCATCACATAACATGCCAAAAGTCATCACATTACATGGGAATTCGAAAGTAATACAAACAAATCCCTCTACAGTTAGATATGGACCCGCCCATTCATACAGATCTTGAAGAAAACAACAACAACCCAACTCTGAGGAGATCTCCAGCCTCCGGAGATAATCAAAGAGACATTGTAATGTAATGAGACGAAATTATGAATGTCTCTTAAAAGTCAGTTCTTAAAATAAACATTACTATAAATAGTAATGATAATACGTTTTTAAAAAGTGAATGCTATATGTCACCAAAAATTGTTTTGAAAAAAAAGAAAAACTAAAAAAAAAAATTGGACAAAATACCTTGGCATATACTGCTGAGACACTCCTGGGCACATCTAGAATAGCATTCTTTGTTTGAGAGCAAGGGCGATCCTGGGTGGACATAGTTAGAAGGCTCAGTGTACGAGTGGGGGGTTTTGGGGTGATGTGGGGGAGGAAAAAAGGTGTGTGATACAAATAAAACAGTGAGTATAATACAGAAACAGTGAGTATAGTTCAGAAACAGTGAGTATAATACAGAAACTGTGAGTATAGTTCAGAAACAGAGAGTATAATACAGAAACTGTGAGTATAATACAGAACCAGTGAGTATAATACGAAACAGTGAGTATAATACAGAAACAGTGAGTATAGTTCAGAAACAATGAGTATTGTTCCGAAACAGTGAGTATAATACAGAAACAATGAGTGTAATACAGAAACAGTGAGTATAGTTCAAGAAACAGTGAGTATAGTTTAGAAAGAGTGAGTATAATACAGAAACAATGAGTGTAATACAGAAACTGTGAGTATAGTTCAGAAACAGTGAGTATAGTTTAGAAAGAGTGAGTATAATACAGAAACAATGAGTATAGTTCAGAAACAAAGATTATAGTTCAGAAACAGTGACTATTGTTCAGAAACAGTGAGTATAATACAGACACAGTGAGTATAATACAGAAACAGTGAGTATAATACAGAAACAGTGAGTATAATACAGAAACAGTGAGTATAGTTTAGAAAGAGTGAGTATAATACAGAAACAATGAGTATAGTTCAGAAACAAAGATTATAGTTCAGAAACAGTGACTATTGTTCAGAAACAGTGAGTATAATACAGACACAGTGAGTATAATACAGAAACAGTGAGTATAATACAGAAACAGTGAGTATAATACAGAAACAGTGAGTATAGTTCAGAAACAATGAGTATTGTTCAGAAACAGTGAGTATAATACAGAAACAATGAGTGTAATACAGAAACAGTGAGTATAGTTCAGAAACAGTGAGTATAGTTTAGAAACAGTGAGAATAATACAGAAACAGTGAGTATAATACAGAAACAATGAGTATAATACAGAAACAGTGAGTATAGTTCAGAAACAGTGAGTATAGTTAAGAAACCGTGAGTATAATACAGAAACAATGAGTGTAATACAGAAACAGTGAGTATAGTTCAGAAACAGTGAGTATAGTTTAGAAACAGTGAGAATAATACAGAAACAGTGAGTATAATACAGAAACAATGCGTATAGTTCAGAAACAGTGAGTATAGTTCAGAAACAGTGAGTATAGTTTAGAAACAGTGAGAATAATACAGAAACAGTGAGTATAATACAGAAACAATGAGTATAGTTCAGAAACAGTGATTATAGTTCAGAAACAGTGAGTATAATACAGAAACAGTGAGTATAATACAGAAACAATGAGTATAATACAGAAACAGTGAGTATAGTTCAGAAACAGTGAGTATAGTTTAGAAACAGTGAGAATAATACAGAAACAGTGAGTATAATACAGAAACAATGAGTATAGTTCAGAAACAGTGATTATAGTTCAGAAACAGTGAGTATTGTTCAGAAACAGTGAGTATAATACAGAAACAGTGAGTATAATACAGAAACAGTGAGTATAATACAAAAAAAGTGAGTATAATACAGAAACAGTGAGTATATTTCAGAAACAATGAGTATTGTTCAGAAACAGTGACTATAATACAGAAACAATGAGTGTAATACAGAAACAGTGAGTATAGTTCAGAAACAGTGAGTATAATACAGAAACTGTGAGTATAATACAGAAACAATGAGTATAATACAGAAACAGTGAGTATAGTTCAGAAACAGTGAGTATAGTTTAGAAACAGTGAGTATAATACAGAAACAGTGAGTATAATACAGAAACAGCGAGTATAGCTCAGAAAAAGTGATTATAGTTCAGAAACAGTGAATATAATACAGAAACAGTGAGTATAATACAGAAACAGTGAGTATAGTTCAGAAACAGTGAGTATAATACAGAAACAGTGAGTATAGTTCAGAAACAGTGAGTATAATGCATAAACAGTGAGTATAGTTCAGAAACAGTGAGTATAATACAGAAACAGTGAGTATAATACAGAAACAGTGAGTATAGTTCAGAAATAGTGAGCAAAATACAGAAACAGTGAGTATAGTTCAGAAACAGTGATTATTGTTCAGAAACAGTGAGTATCATACAGAAACAATGAGTATAATACAGAAACAATGAGTACAGTTCAGAAACAGTGAGTATAGTTCAGAAACAGTGAGTATAATACAGAAACAGTGAGTATAATACAGAAACAGTGAGTATAATACAGAAACAGTGAGTATAATACAGAAACAGTGAGTATAATACAGAAACAGTGAGTATAGTTAAGAAACCGTGAGTATATTTCAGAAACACTGAGAATAATACTACAGAACACACAAGAATATCAATGTTTCATGTCCACTATCGATTCTCATAATTCCACCCCAGTTCTATGCCTAAGGAATTTCTTCGCATCCCGTACACAAAACAACTTGAACAGATTGCCCCCCCCCCCTCTCTACTTACTTCACACCGCACATACGTGACTTGAACACGAGCCCAGATGCGTAATTTTTTCATTGTTGTCAACCCCCAGAGTTAAGTGTCAGGTGACTTCGGGGGTGTAGGGGGGCCATTTACCTTAGTTAGTTCGCCATGACTTGAATCGGATGACCACCTCTGTTCAGGTTCACCTGGTGGGTCAGTTCGTTTGCTGGCCATGCCGACCTCTGATTGCCTTGATCCCCCGCAGCCCATCGTTTTCAAACACTGGGCGCTGGTACTACGTCGCCATCCTCACTCGTGCACACTAAACACCGCGCCACGTTGCGCAGTGCAAGTGCATGTGGTGCGCAGCGAAGGTAAAGGGAGTTTAAACAATACAATCCATGAAGAATATGTGTATTGAAATACAATTTCAGGATGAATTAACATATGATATGAACACCAAAACCCTTTTATAACATAAACAATTGGAATAAATATAAACATAGTGTATGCGCCTCAGTTACATCCCTTGATTGCTCTTAACCGGAAATCAAACAAACTGATTAACATAATCGTCCCTGCTTCCTTCATTGTCGAGCCTTTTTGTTTTGTTGGCATCAGTCCGTCACAATGTGACGATGGTGGAGACTTCGCAGGACGAAATCCACAAGGCGTGGGATTAACGTCTAGGATTATAAGCTGGTTCCCAACAGTAAATCGCCTCTCTCGACGCAGCTGGATAAACCAAAGGGGACATCATGTGGATGATACAGCTTTGGCACCAGTGGCGTCGTAGGAGTTGCCGCATTGTTCCATTGTACCGATGCTATCCGCCTACGGGACTCCATCTTCCGGTTTGAATTCTGAGTTTCCTTCTCTTAGATGAGTTGCCATCCAACAAGGTTGACGAGTCCCATCCACCCGGGGTGCTGGTGGTGTTTTTGCTTGAGTTGGCTCTGGTAGGGGGATTGAACTCCAGACCATCAACTTGTCGTGCCTACTTTTCAATCAAAGCAATGTGTCTATACCAGTGGTTCTTAACCTGGGTTCGATCGAACCCCGGGGGTTCGGTGAGTCAGCCTCAAGGGTTCGGCGGAAGTCCCCCAAAAAATCAGGAACAAAAAAATATCATATTTTATTTTCCCTATTAAGAAGGGTTCAGTGAATGCGCATATGAAACCGGTGGGGTTCGGTACCTCCAAAAAGGTTAAGAACCACTAGTCTATGCGTTTTAATTAACTTAACGCTCACTTGAAAGTCAGATTCTTGAGATGCTTTTTAATTCACAGCTTTCGCATGGATAAAATGGTTCAACACCTCTGAAACTGGCGGCCATTGTTGCTGGGCTCGTTTCCGTTTAACATGAGATCATCATTTCGTTTTGCGCGTCGGCCTTTGAAACTGAGATGCGAAAATGGATAGGCAGCTCTTGCAAACAATACATTTGAAAATGGCTTGTGTGTAATGGGATACGACCGCTTAGAAAATCAAAAGCCCCCCCCCCCCCAAAAAAAAACTCGCGTAGGAAATATTCATTGACTTTGTTTCACTTTTGTGTGATTGGTCGCGGCCGTTGTTTGACTATGTATCATTGGTCAATACATAATACGGAAACATGGATTGGATGAAAATATCCTGATTTGAAAGGAATGACATTATTTAGATTGAAAATTTACCATTTGAATTTTTAAAATATATTTATTAGCCAACTTACTGGAATCGAGTTTATAAACATAGGAAAAAAAACAACAGGATTAAGAACAAAAAGGAAAAAAAAACAACAACAAACAAACAAACAAAACAAACAAAGTGGGATGTTGAAAAAAGCGGTAAGAGCTCAAGGGCAAGGTACTCTGTTTAAAAAACGTTTGTACATAGGTTATAGTACATGGGCGTTTGTCTCCTCGCGTCATTTTTTCTAATTTTGATACGTTCGATTTTACATCGAACCTTTGGAAAAGACCATTTTGTCGATGCACAGAAGATAAAGCTTGGCTCAAGTTAAGGTCCCTTTTTTTTTTTTTTTTTAAGCTTTA